TTATTTTTATAAAATTAATAATTTTAATAATAAAAAATAAAAATATTTTAAAAAATATACTTATTTGTTTTTAAACATGTCTTTATTAGTCATTTAATATTAAATAACAACTGCTAACCATTGTATAGCCAAACAGTTATATTTATTAAATCCGTTATTTACCATCCGTTACCCACTTTTCGCTACCGCTACACACTTTTCGCTACCGCTACCCACTTTCCGCTATTAGCCATCCACTATCCGCTAACTGCTACCCGCTACCCACTACCGCTATCCGTTATCCGCTACCTGCTATCCGTTAAATTTTAACCGCTGTACCAACAGGCATTTAGACATATAATTGGTAAATAGAAAGGATATAAAACGTGAAGAATAATGTCCCCATTTTTGTACTCAAAATTTCATGAGTACTAAGGATTTATGAGTCGGGCTTTTTGTTCTCACAAACAGTAAAGACGCCAAATTTCTTTTTGCCTTCACCGTAAAGCTACTGCCAGATTTTTTATTTTTGCTTTTAAAAATCGTCGAGCTACTTTGTATATAATATAGAAATCTTTTATCAACAAATTTATTCTCATAAAAAAAAAAAAAGGAATTTTTGCCAGATCCCAGCCGGCAGCCATGATATTATAACTTCATGTCTTGAGTTTTAAGGTAAGTTTGCTTTGCTATTTATCACGAAATATTTCCTTGCGAAGCCGCATATATTTTAGGTATGTTTGGTTTCCTATTTCCAAGAAAATGTTTCTGGGGAGCCAACATTAAAAATATATGGGTTTGGGCTCAAAATCTGGCACAAAAATAAAAAGAAGTTTATAATTGGTTATAACAATTTATAACTAACTATAATTGATTAAAATAAAAAATAATTAATTATATTATAACATAGTTAGTTTTATTGTTTGAATTTTATTTTCAAGTAAAATACTCAAGACAAAAGTCTTTTTTTTAATCAATTATATTAAATTATAGCCAATTATAATATTTTATTAAATTTTGTTCCCAAAATAAATTTTTTTCAAACCAAGTTGACTCAAAATATTGATTATAATATTGAAGAGATACTTTCACATTAGCAAAAATAATCAATACTCATTTCTATAAATTATAAGGGAATTTGACAAAAACAAATGAAAATTTGTACACATTGTTATAATATAGTAACATGATACTTTTAATATTTATTCTTTTAGAAATTTGATACATTATGAACCACTACTGGAAAATCAGGCAAAAACGACAAGATCATTCGAATATAAAAACATATTCGACAAAAATGTTGTCGAATATGCTTGATTGTCAATTATAATCAATTTTTTTGTTCTTATTCGACAGAACACATATTCGACAGAAGAGTTTCATATTCGACAGAAATTCTTATGTCGAATATGTATAATTGACAATCTAATGGCTATCGATTATGTTTTGAGATATTCGACAGCATTGCTGTCGAATATCTAGGAAACGAAGACGTTTCCTTTGTATATATACCCAATGATTAACCCCCCCCCCCCCGACCCCCCCTTTCTTTCCCCATTTCTTCTTCTTCCTCTACAGCGATTTGGTTTGTTTTCTTTGATGCTATTCTTGCTGTTGCCGTCGATATTCTTGCGTCTTGCCATCGAGCCCCCTGTTGTTAGAATATCCCACCAGTGACGTTGACAGTGAGTTGGCCCCTCTCCTGTGCAGCAATCTGGTTTTTTTTTTTTCCTTGGATTTACAATCAGCATTTGCATATTTCCTTATAGATCCGTGCCTTTTGGTCCAAGATTCATTGCCTCTAAGCCACCACACGCCTCCATTGTGCATTTTGTAAGTTGCAGCACTCTCTGTGTTTTGTTTTGTTTTTGTTTTTGTTTTTTTTTTTTCATTTTTTTGTTGTTTCTTTCCTTATTTTTTCCTTGGATTTGAGTTTACAACACCCCAATTTCATTTTTTGTAGGTTAAAATTCAGCTTTTACTGTCTTCATTACCTCCACAACATTACCGTCCCCATTGGCATAGGTAATTGAGATTTTTGTGGTTTTTTTATACAAAATTATATTATCTTATTTGTAGATTAGTATAGATTATTACTATTATTGCATGAATTGTCAATAAATTGCTGTTATTTCTTTCAAGTTTTTGAGATTGAAATTTGTACGTTAATTATTTGCTTGAAGAGTTTTTTTTAGTAAATTTGTATATATAAGTTATGAATTTTAGATTATTAAATTTGAGATTAAGATTAAGATTGATATTGAGATTGAGGTCTAAATATCTTGAAATAGAGTGATATTTATATTGAATTTCTATAGTTACAAATTTGTTATTTATTTCAAATTAACTCAATCTGAGAGATTGATATTGAGATTGGGATGTGCATTATTATTGAACTAAAATGATACTTAGATTGAATTTTTATATATCAAATTGTTTATTTCAAATTATTAAGATTAAAATCGATATGGTAATTAAAACAAAGTACTATTTATATTTAATATATATATTTATAAAGTTACTAAATTATTTATATTGAGATTAATATATGTATGATTGTTGAAATATAGTAGTATTTTTATATATTGAATTTATATACATAAAGAAATTTAATTTAAAATTATTAAGATTAAGATTAACATGCGTGGTTATTGACATATATGGTTATTAGTTGATATGTTAATATACTTTGTCAAATTGAAATTCAAATTAGATAATTAAATAATGGATAACCGTAGTTGGATAGATTGTCGTGTAGATGATAATGGTTTTGTTATTGATGAATTTAAAGAGGGGGTGCAATTTTTTGTGAGATTTGCATTTTCAAGACCGAAAGCAAAATCAGAGATTAAGTGTCCTTGTTCAAAATGTAAATGTAGAAAATGGGGGAATCCTGAGGTTGTCTCTGTGCATTTGTGTAAGCATGGGTTTATGAATAACTATTATACATAGTATGTTCATGGAGAGACATCTAGCAATATAGTAAGAAATTTTGAAGGGGAATCTTCTATTATGGAGTTTGTTAGAAATAAGGTAGATGCATTATACCATGAAATGGTAGTTGATGTAATGGGTGTACAGTTTGAATACAATGAGAGGCCAATGGCTAAGGAGCCAAATAGTAAGACAAGAGAATTTTATGATCTCTTGCATGCTGTAGAAGTTCATATAGGTGCTGGGGAATAAGATGTTACAGTACTTTCATGAATGACAAAAATGCTAAACATGAAAACTCTTTATAATATGAGTACTACTAATTGAGATATGACATTGTCATTAAGTCGAAAGTTGTTGAGTCCAGAGGACCAAGAAAAGTGCCAAAGGATTTCTACAGTACCAAAAAAATGATAAATGTGCTTGGACTTGGGTACAAGAAAATTGATATTTGTGTCAATTATTGTTTCTTAAGCCCAACCCAATACTTCTGTTCACTTTCACATGAATGTCTTTCAATTTTGTAAATGTTTCACCTCAGGAAACCTCGACCTTTACTTTTTATCTCGGCTCCAACCACAATGATTTCAATCATTACTTTTTATCTTGGCTCTGGCTGCAATGACTTCGGTCATTACTTTTTATCTCGACTCTGGGCGCAATGACTCCGATCATTACTTTTTATCTCGGCTCCAGCCACAACGACTCCGGTCATTACTTTTTATCTCTGCTCCGGCCACAATGACTACAGTCATCATATTTTACTTCGGCTCCAGCCATAGTGACCCTGTGTCACATATTTTACTTTGGTTCCGGTCACAGTGACCGCATGTCACATATTTTACTTCGGCTCCAGCCATAGTGATCCCATGTCATGTATTTTACCTTGGCTTTGGCCATAAGTGAATTTTCGTCAACAATTTTTATTTTAGTTATGCCTGCAATAACTCAACTCCAATATTCTCTCATTTATCTTTCCAACTGATTATATACTACTCTTATCACCTCTCACAACATCATTCACAAATGAATGACTTCAAGGGGGGAATAGTGTAAGGATAGGTCCAAAATTCTTAACCTCGAACATATTGCTATAGTTCCCTAATAACTGATGTGAAGTTAAATTCAACCCTTCCCGATTAAATGGCTATATGACAAGTACAGTGAATATGTTCACACCTGATTTCACACACATGATTTCTCGGTCTCGAAATTATCGCCTGAGGGGACATGTCAGACTTCGATTATCTTGTTAAGCAAATCACGTGGATACCTTACTAAGACCTATAAATACCCTCCAGAGGTCAGCTCAAAAAGGTAATTGAAACCGACTTAAAGTTCATTTTTCCATTATTCTAAAGGTGAATCCGATTATTGTTGATTTAAGTATCGGAGTGTTTACCCCAAGGATCACCTTGGGGCTTTGCAAGTATATCCAAAGTGAAGACACGGACTAAAGAAGGACTTTTGGTTTGGTGCAATTGCACCAACTCCTGCAGCCACGCCAGATCCCCGCCACCGCAATGCAGTCCTCTCCAAAGATATTCCCATCAATCCATCAAACCACACCTGGGCTCGCATCTTCCTTCCCTGCCAAGTACTCGATGGTTCCTCGCCGGCTGCTAAGTTACCCCTCATAGTCTATTATCATGCTGGTGGTTTCATAGCATGGAGTGCAGCCACGACATTTTGTCATGATTTTTGCATCAATATTGCTGCAGAACTTCCGGCTGTGGTCATGTCGGTTGAGTACCGGCTTGCTCCCGAGCACCGTCATCCGGAGGCTTATGATGACGCCATGGAAGCACTGCACTGGATAAAGTGTAATCAAGAAGAGTGGCTGAGGGAATACGCTGATTTTTCTAACTGTTTCCTAATGGGAACCAGTGCCGGCGGAAATATCACCTACCATGTGACGCTGCGGGCGGCGGAGGCGGTTAATGAGCTGGAGCCGTTACAAATCAGAGGAATGATATTGAATCATCCCTTCTTTGGTGGGATCCATAGGAGTGGGTCAGAGTTCAGATTGATGAACTAACCGATTCTGCCGCCAATTGTAACGAACATGATGTGGGACCTGTCATTGCCAGCTGGCTCTGACCGTGATCACAAATATTGTAATCTTGCGGTGGAGGGTGGGTCAAAGTTCTTGGAAAAAGTAAGAGCGGTTGGATGGAGAGTGCTGGTCAATGGGTGTGAGGGGGACCCACTGGTGGACCGGCGGAAGGAGGTGTTGAAATTGATGGAGGAGAACGGCGTGGAAGTCATTGGGCGTTTCGTCACCGGAGGTGTTCACGCAGCAGAAATGTTCGATAGTTCCTGGGCTAAGGCCTTGCATGCTATGTTGAAAGATTTCAGTTTTCTCCTCGAAGGTGACCGCTTGGTAATGCTGATTAAATGAAGCGATCACCACGTTAATTTCCTTTGTTTTCCATGCTAACAGTGTTTGTTTTTTATTTTCAGCGTGTTTTTATGCTTTGTTTGTTAATTGTCTTGAGAAGACAACAATCAGTCATTGCATTAGCTAATTTAATTCGAGCTATTGAACTTACATTATGTTTAGGTTGATCAAAATGGAGGAGAAAGGAAAAAATTTTTTCCTATTGAATTATTAAAATAATTAGAGAGAAATAGAGAAGAAGGAATTTTTTTACTCTATTTTTTAAATTAATTTATTTATTTAAATAAAAAAAATTATTTTCACGTCGATAAAATAAAATTTATTTGTTAATGCACATAAATAACTAAAAAAAAAAGTCACAGAACACCAAAATTACCCAACTAACAAACAAAAAAGAGCAAACTCAACCTGGATTTTGAGTTTGATTACTCCGCTGGTAGTCTCATGTTGAAAATTGATTTAAAATAATAAAGTTTTTAATTGGAAAAATAAATAAGTTTTAAAAATGATTTTGACGTGGCATAAGAGTTGTTCCTGCTTACCTCTTCAACCGATAGTAGCTCCTAAGTTGGAGCCTGACGTTTGCCAAGTAGTTTTAAACTTTTAATCTTCTGTTTAACAACTATTTGGAGCAAGGTGCACGAGCCCAAAGTTTAAGCAGCACCACCAACTGTGATGATCAATATAAACTTACACTTGTAAGAGATGCTTTCTCTAATATCAATTAAAACAAATTGTGTCAAAACTTCCTATTAATTTAACAATTTTTTGGATTAACATTTACAGATCGAGCTCTCAAAAACTTAACTCTCAAAAGTTTAAGCTTAAATTTAAATTTAAATTTGAGTTTAAATTTAAGTTTAAGTTGTTAGTAGTGTTCACATTTACATATTAATGTGGGATTTGGAACATCACACTTAATCAAAATCCAAAATTAGTTTCCATCTTCGTCACACTTATTCTTTGCCCATAGCTTTTGCCTCTCCTTCTTGATGGTTAAGGATCGCATAACTAAAAGTGTGATGTTCTTCCTTTTTAAAGGGTTTCTATCTCAAAAAAAATTTGTCTCACTCTTTTGAGAGTTTCTACCTCGATGAGTTTCATCAAGTGTTACCTATGGTGGAGGAGGAAGGTAGCATAGATGTGAGGTTGGTTGGGTTCCAAGTGATTGCATCACTTGTTTCAGCTATTAAAAGCATAGCCAGGAAGTGAAATCTGTCTAATCTTTTTGCCTCGGAAGCTAAAGTTGCCTTAGAGGAGACTCTGTCTAATATTCTTTCTGCCTCAAAAGCTGGAATATTCATATAAGACTATCAAATGCTTACACATTTAGGTCGTCTACATTAAGGGTTCGTTTGATTTGAAGTGAGAAGGAAGGGTAGGGATGAATTTTTTTACCAATCAAATTATAATATTTGAAAATATTATAATTTAATTAATTAAAAAACATATCCATCCTCTCTCCTTCCTTTAAATCAAACATATTATAAGTCTAGTTGCTTTGTTATGGTAATTACTTAAGTAATATGTATCAATTCATGACTTGCTATACTAATTTTTCCTATATGTTCGTAGATATAATCATCTGCTATTATTACTATAGGTTTAGCTTTGTTTTTTTTGCTTTTGTACACCTAAATGGCTTATTTCTGGGATTCTTATAATGAAAAAAAAAAAAAAAAAAAAAAAAAGAGATTATGAGGAGGTGCTCATAATAAAAATATATAATTCATCTTAATAAACACAATAGAGAAAAATATTTTTAAAGGATCTATTTAAAAACTTATTTTTTAATTTATATTTTAAAAAATCAATTATTAGATTAAAAATTCTAATCATATAGATAATATATATTAATTTTTAAATTAATCTAGTGGATCCACTTAACTCATTGATTACAAAAAAAAAAAACTAATACCATTAAATAAATGTCAATATATAAAGTTTATCTAATCAAATGGTTATAAATTTTAAATCAATATGAAAATTAATATGCATAAGTTATATGGGTAGAATTTGCAATCCAACATTTATTTTTAAAAATATTAATCGGAGTGTGAATCTTTAGATATGTCTTCCAAAAAAAATTTAGAAGGATAACTTGTACAACACTAACTCCATTAAAATAAGTTGATCTTATTGTCATATATGATTGTATTTACACCTTAATTCAAATCAAATAGTTCATTTTGGGTTTAAAAGTTTTGAAGGCTTACAAAGTTCTTTGTCCTTTTTTAGAGAGTTTTAAGTGTCTCTTGTGGTTAGGCTTAATAAACTCAATGAATTTTATTAAAATTTTTATAATTGAATTTTACCTGATTTTTATTAAACCAAACGAAATAAAATTTCTAATTAATTTATAAAAGTTTCAATCAAACTAAACACAACAATATGGAAATGTAAATGAATTTCATACTATTTTGAGAAATTTAATGAAACCAAACATTCTTAGAATTGAATCCCCCTTTAACAAAGAGTTGATGAAGTAAATGAAAGAGGGAAAATTATCTCGGTAACCTAATGAAATAGTAATGAACTGACACCCTATATCAAGGGTGGCTAAATTAGTTAAGAATTTAAAAGTTTAGTTTGAAGATTTCAAATTTAAATTTAAGACTAATTGAGGAGAGAATTGGATAAAGGAAATGATTTTGGAACAATTTTTTTATATTATTTTTTTATATAACTTGACGTATTATTTAAATGATTAATTCTTTTTATTTATATGAGATCTGTGATATTAAATATATCTATTCATTTAATAACATATAAAAATTATATAAAAAAATGATATAAAAAAATTATCCTCATAACACTACTAATTGGATAAAGAGAAGGGTTATTTATTCTTGTATAATGAGTTGACGAGGCATTTAAAATTCCGAATGAGCCATTATGGGCCTTACCAACTGAACAACGTCCACCGGTTAGTTGGGTTTGTCAAACCTTTTCGGTCTTGATTCAACCAACCTAAATGGACACAACCCTACTCCCCGCATTGCATGAGATAGTGAAACTTGGCTAATGGATGGGCCTAGTCCAACTGACAATCTGAACGCTATATTAATTTGATTTAGGTAAGGTGTTGTACTTGTTTTAACCGTTAAATATATGATTGGAAACAAAATCTTCAACTAATTTTTATGCCTCAAGAACCAATTTATGTTTTGTCTAAATGGAATGTGGCTTATTACTAAATCTCTAACTGGGGTTTAGTTACAATTTTAATGTAGGTATTAAACTATTTAAATTTGTATCTTTATACATTTTGTGAATATGATATTTTGATATATTACCACATTTAAGTTGCTTATGTAACCTTTCTAATTTTCTTATTTTAATGAAATTCTATTCCTTATCAAAAAAGTTGTTTGTAGAGTAGTTAGTCTCGAGAAATGCCAACATTGACCAGGAAACATCCTAGCCATCCACACTTAAAAAGAAAAAATGTGTTGCTATCTAGCTGACTCAAAAACTATTTAGAGAAAGAAAAACCATTTAGTATGAGTAGTATTACTGATACATTCTCTACAACAAATTTTTTGTCCGTCAGGATAAGTCTTGATTTGGTGGATATCTATATGAATTAATTGATCTTTACAAACAATTTTGTTCTCTCAGTAAAGATCCATTTGGCTATAGTGCATGTCCCCAGGATAGGTAGAATTAACTATTAGGAATAAGAATGTTTTTATTTGTGGCAAGGGGAAGAAGTGAAGAGGGAAGAAGGTAGCAACAAAGAAGGAACAGATAGGTAGGGCAGGCAGGAGAGTATCCTTGAAAGAAACCGAAGAAATGTCGTTTTATGAGAGGAGAATAGTTTTGTTGTGGCGTTTTGGGGTTGGAATTTGAAGGAGTGGCCCCACAACAAACAACAAACAAATGATTCCACGTGATGTGGGCCTTTTGGAGATTACGGGAATGGGATTGCCATTGTCCTTACTTGCGGCGGCTGTCTCTAAACAAGGCTAAAGATGGAATTGGGTAATGATCATTATCACTGGCATTTTTTTATTTTTGTTTAAAGCTATATAATTTTATTAATATTTTATTAATTTAGTTATCAAGAATATTTAATAATTAATATTTATTATTTAATAAATTAAAATTAATTTATAAATATATTTTTAAATATTATAATTAATTATTTAAAAAATTAGAAATTAATAAAATATTAATAAATTTATGTATTTTTAACAAAAATATTACCAACAATAACTATTGGTATGGAATTGATTAAGACATTTTAGTATGAAGGCCACACAAATTTTATATTTGTTTGTAAATAGTAAATTTCAATATTTAAAAATATTAGTATGGAGGTTAAGTGGTTAACTTTACTTTATTAAGTAATAAATATTAATTATTTTGTTATTTATAAATTAATAGCTATAGTTATTGATTTTTTTAATAATCAAATTAAATAGAATTAATATTTCAAAAGATAGAATTTAAAATTTTGTGTGATTCTAATAATTTATTATGTAATCATATCCATGCTTGCTAAAGATCCACAACTTAATAGCTATTTTGGATACATTATGTTATCAATTATACAATAAAACATAATCTTTTTCCTCTTAATTTTTTTCTTAATTTAAGATCTGAATTCAAATTTTCCAACTTTAAGTTTCAAATTATTAATAGCTTGAAAGACTCATTGAGCACATTCTAATTATTTTTATTACTCATTGTGGTCTAATTTAATTCTCTGTCCTTTTTAATATGGTAATCTAAATTAGGGCCTGTTTGGTACAATAGTTAAAATTCAGCGGATAGTGGTAGCCGGTAGCGGGTGACGGTTAGCGGATGACGGATAGCGGAAAGGGAGTAGCGGAAAGGGGGTAGCGGATTCGATAAATATAACTGTTTGGTTATACAATAGTTAGCGGTTGTTGTTTAACATTAAATGACTAATAAGGATATGTTTAAAAATAAATAAGTGTATTTTTTAAAATATTTTTATTTTTTATTATTAAAATTATT